TACATACAGTGTCCGTATCGCATGGAATAATTTCTGGTGTTGTTACTGTATAATATCAAACTTTTTTTTCTGTACATACATAAGTATTTTAGGGTTAATCCACTCTCCATGGCTTCCCCTCCCCCTTTCTTCCTCTATTTCCTTCACCCACTTCACCTCTCCCTTTACTCCACGCCCATCGAGTAACAGCCCAATCATCTGCTCTTCCCACAAATCTTCAACAATTTCGACACCACAGAGCTTCACCAATGGCTTCCACTGGAATTCAATCTTACGATTCAGAGTCGATGCAGGTCTCTTTGAATCCGCTCTCTCCCTCTTCTCTTCAATGCTGGCAGGCAGCGCCCGCCCCGATCAGTATACTCTCCCTCTGGTCCTCCGAGCAGTTACCGGCCTCCCTGCTCGTGCTGGCCTCGGCAAGACGATCCACTCTCTTGGTATCCAGCTGGGTTTCTGCGTCGATGCCTATTTCTGTAATTCTGTGATCGCTATGTATGTTAGATGTGATAATACCGTCTATGCTCGTAACCTGTTTGATGAAATGCGTCACAGAGATGTGGTCTCCTGGACCACCCTGATCTCTGGTTATATTCAGAACAGAAACATCTTAGAATCCACTAGACTGTTCCATGAGATGAGAATCTCTGGCATTGAGCCCAGCTCTGTGACATTGGGGGTGATCCTCAGAGCATTTGAAATTGAAAAAAGTGGCGATGGAGGGAGGCAAATGCATGGATTTGTAATAAAGAGGGGGTTTGGGAGCCATGAGTTGGTCCAAAATTCTATTTTGACAACATATAGCAAGTTGTCTTATATTAAGGAGGCAGAGAAGCTCTTTGAGTGTATGGAGGAAAGGGGTTTTGTTTCATGGAATATTCTGATGTTGGCATATTTTTCAGCAGGTCATATGTCCAGAGTGGTTGATTGCTTTCAGAGAATGATAACTGAATTGTATCCTAGTCTTGAGACACTGACCATCATCATCTCAGCTTTGGGCAAGTGCAGAGAACTTCGGATGGGCCAGCAGATTCATTGTTATGCCGTAAAGCATGGACAGATTGACATGGTTCTTCAAGCTTCTTTTATGAACTTCTATGCCCAGTGTGCAGATTTAGCTTCTTCCTTCTCATTGCTTCAAGAATTTGGCACCCAAACTTGCAGCATCCCTTGGATTGTTATGATGTGGGCATTTGTACAAAGTGGGCAGTTTAGACAGGCTATTAGTTTATTTCAAAGAATGCAAAATTTAGGTTTAGAGCCAAACGCTGATGCTCTGAGGTGCTTGGTTACTTCATATACTCACTTGGGTGCCCTGCTGCTGGGAAAAGTAATTCATGGTTACTTCTTAAGGCGTCAGTTAAGTTCTGAATCAGAAGCGGAAAGGCTTGAAACATCCATTCTTAACATGTATGCTAAATGTGGTAATATCATTCTTGCGCGGAGATGTTTCGATAACATGGTAGACAGAGATATCGTGGTTTGGAGCTCGATGATTGAAAGCTATGCCATCCATGGAATGGGAATAGAAGCTATGAAGCTATTTCACCAGATGGAGGAGGCAGGAGTCAGCCCAAACAGCATAACATTCCTAAGTTTGTTGTCATCATGCAGTCACTCAGGTCTTGTGAATGAAGGTTGTCAGGTGTTCCATTCTATGACTGAAAGGTTTGGCATAAAAGCTGAGTTAAACCATTACACCTGCATGGTAGACCTTTTTGCTCGGGCTGGAAAGCTTGTTGAAGCCTTAAATTTGATTAATTCCATGGATGTGAAACCTGATGGGAGAATTTGGGGAGCTCTTCTTGCCTCATGTAGAGTACACCAAAATGTTGATGTTGGAGACTATGCTGCTCAAAGACTGTTGCAATTGGAACCAGATAATGTGGGCTACAATATTATTTTGAGTAGCATCCAAGCTGGTGGAAACCAATGGGCTAAAGCTGAGAGAATCTGGAAGTCCATGGATGACATAGAGTTGAAGGGTAGACCAGGTTGGAGTTGCATAGAAGAGAAGGGAGGATTTTCCCTTTTTCTTGCTGCGGATTACTCGCATTTATGATCAGAAGATATGTATGAGACATTGGATTTTCTAGGTATTGAGGATCAAATGCTTGTGAAGCAAAACTAGGTGGAGTCTTCTCGAAGGACCTGTCTGTTGCTTGTATATGCTTTTGGATAGCTGTCCTTTTCTGTTCTTGAAGCTTTTCTTTTGTAGTAGTAGTAACAGAGGTAAGACTATTGAAGGAAAGCTAAGAATCATGGCTTTGTTGATATGTTATAATGGTGGGATTTTTTCAGCAGTTATACAATTCATTTTTTATTGGAAAGAATTCAAATTTTTATGTGAATTCCAGTTTTTCTTGCTATATGACATGGTCCTTTGCGTTTTGAGAATGGAATAGCTTTTTCGTAAGTTTTATTTGGTCTAACACCATGCCATATTTTGAGAATGCTAGAGCTTTGACTTGATAAAGGCAAAAAACGAACACCTTTTAGAGTCTAAAATCTGAGGGACTAGTCTTCTCCCTGTTTTGGCTCGAAGTTTCTCTTTGTGCTGTAATGATTTTCTCCTCCACTAAAAGACCTCCTCCCCCCTTTTCTCTCTTCGAGATTCTCCTTTCCCGGCGCCTTTATTGTTGGTTTATTGGATAACATACATTTTCATCAAGTTGGAAAATAATATAGATTGCAGTATGATTTTTTCCCATCGTTTTTACTATGTTTTTTTCTGTCAAATGCGTTTATTAAAATTGGCTCCTTTTTTTGATATTAAAGAAGAGTCCTCTATAGTTCCTACGTGAGTTTCTTTCC